ATGGCCTTGGGGCTCCCACCCCCATTCCTCCCTGTCCCCAGCTCAGAAAAGTCCCAGAGTGGTGGGTCTATGCATCTGCTTTTGTGTACACAAAGCCGCCTGTCAGGGCCCTGCCTGAGTCTATGCAGGCCTGCTCCTTGGTAAGGAGAATGTGGACTAGTGTGTCCTGGGTGTGCTTTGTGGATGTGTCCTAGTGGGACATTTTGGAGGTATGTGCCCAGTACCTGTGCTGGGGGACTGTGTTTGAGCTTGGGAACTTGCAAATGTCCTTCCTGGTCTGCCCCGCATGTTGTGGGGGCGTGGCTGGGAGCAAGGTGTCTTCTCAGATCCCAGAAGCCTCCTCCCTCACGTAGGTGTGGGAGGAGGGGAGGCAAGGCTGTGGGTGAGTCTCAGCCTCATGCTGTGCCTCTGGACTGTGCTGAGGCAGAAGGTCCTGGAATAGGAACTCTAAGTGTGGCCGTGGGCAAGGTCCTTCTACTCTCTGGGCCTCAGTTTCTTTATGAGGTACCTGCTTTCCACCTGAGACTTAGGTTGCTGAGACCCGCCCCCAAGCAAGCCACAGGTGTGTAGACCTGTGCCCTGGTGGCTCAGAGAGATCTCAGCCTCTGGGCAAGCTGGTGTGGGGGGGTGTTGCTGGGGCAACCAGATGTTATGAAGTGTGTGAGAGCCTTGGATCCAGTTGGGCAATTTGCAGCTGTGGCCCTGACTGCCAGCTGTGGACCTGAGACCTTGGTGAGCTGATCATGTCCTACTTAGCGGGGGCTCAGCCCTTAGTTGCCCTGGTTAGGGGGAAGCTGAAGATGACTGTGTCCTGCAAGGTTAAAGGCTCCAGTTTTGGAGCCAGCCAGAGCTTGGGAAGTCACCTAACTCTCTGAGCCTCACAGGTCCATGATTACTGGGAAAAGTATCTTTTATTACCTGTCTTGAAGGGCTGTTGTAAGATCCATGAGGGCTGTGACTGTTTACCTTCCACTGGCACCTGGCATGGTGCCTGACATGAATTAATCACCCTGTAAGTGTTGGGTCTGCTGCTCTACCGATTGAGTGGGACTAAGAGGGGTGGGTGGGTCTGGCCTAAAGGAGGGAAGAGGGATGGATGTAGTCAAGAAACCTAGAATTTGTGGGAATGGTAGGGTTCCTCAGCCCTTCTTCAGAAGGGAGATAGGTTTGTAGCTGGTGTAGTGGGCAGAGCATGGCTTTTGCATTCACATTGTCCTGACTGCAAATGCTGCCCTGCCGTTTGCTAGCTTTATATGCTTGCCCTCTCTGGCCTCCGTTTTCTCATCTGTAAAATGTGGATAAAGTACCTACTTCTTAGGATTGTTATTTAGATTTCAGTGATTTGTGGATACATACTCTGCAGTTCCACGGAAGTTTGTTCCCAGAGAGTGAAGGCCCAGCTGCCTGCCTGAGTGGTCTTTGAGAGGTGGAGCAAATGGGGAAAAGGCTGCAGCAGGTGGGTCTTGCAGCGTGAGAGCCACTGTGAGTTCTTAGATCACCAGGGACTCAGAGAGAAAGGTGCTGTGAGAGAGGGGTGTCCTCAAGAACGGTTGGTGGGTAGCACTTTATAGTTCACAGACTTTCTCTTCCATATTCTCAGCTACTGTTTTTGGAGTTGCTAGAGGGATCTCTTTTAACACTGTCACTACCCAGCTTAACCTTCCGTACAGACCTCCTGGGGCTCTCTGAAGAAAATCCAGGTTTTGCCAGGGCCTATGGGGCCCTACCTGACCTGGCTTCCACTCCCATCTGCTGCCATTCTCTCCCTTGCAAACCATATTCCAGCCACACTGGTCCCTCTGTTCTGGGAAACCCACCATTCCTGCCTCAAGGCTTTTACACTTGCTCTTGCCTCTGTCTAGAAGGCTCTGTGCCCAGCACTTGCCCTGACTCCTCGTCATTCTTCAGGTCTCAGTTCCAGTGGCCTTTCCTTAGAGAAGCTTTTCTTGATGCCCCCTAAAAGAACCCCCTTCCTGTCACAGCTCCTCAGTCTTCACTGTCTGAAATTATTAGTTTGCCTCATTTATGTATTCTTCAAATATTTATTGAACTTACAGTATGTGCCAGGCACTGATTTATGTGCTAGTGATGTACTGGTGAACTAGACAAAGTTCTCCATTAGCTGTAGCCTCCCGTAGTGGCTTAATAAATACTTACTGATGGCATGTCTTAGAAAGAGGAGTCATTGCCTCTTTTCCAAGGCATGACCTCATGTCCGCTGGAGGTGAATTTGAACCAAATACCTCCTCCTGTCACACACACACACACACACACGCACGCACGCACGCACGCACGCACCCCCACCTGTGAGCTTCTCTTGCTCCCTGCCTGGTGACACAGAGTGGGACCAACAGGAAGAATCCTGGCCTGAAGGAGCAGCAAGTCTGTGTTGAAGGCCTGCCTCTGCTGTGTGACCTTAGGGACTTCAGAGCATTTCTCTGGGCCACTGGTGTCACATTACCAGAGGGGGAAGAAAGTCCTTTGGAAAGTGTGGGGCTGACATACACATGGGGGATTTGTTACCACCAGCCACTGTAATTCCACTCTGGACGTGTCCCTAGCTCCCCAGTACTGTGTCCTGGATTGGCTGCCACCCTCCAGGGGCCTCTGCCAATGGCCTTGCCATCTCTCCAGGCACTCCTGGGCTTCTGTCTAGCTGCTCCATGCTCTGAGCTACTTCCCCAGGGAATTACTCTCACCAGCCAGGAGGACTTGAAGGTGGGCACCATGCCAAGTCCAGTTTGGTGGCTCTTCACCTACCATCTGGCAACTGGGATCCCTGCCTTAGCTCTCCAGCTCCTCTTTAGAAAGACTTGGGGACAGGGTTAATGGCCAACCCCTGTAACTGAGTATCGTCAGCCCTCCCAGTCATACCGTACACCAGAGCCAAACGCCAACTGACTCTGGTTTCACTTTTCCTGTAAGGGGGTCCGGGTGGGTTCCTACCCCTGTACTGCACCGAGGGGCGGGGTCGGCGTGTGGGCGGGGCCGGCGCGCAGGTCGGAGGAGGACCCGGAGAGCAGCCCCTCCCCCTCCGCTGCCTGCAGCCTGCGCTCTGCAGCTGGGCGGGCGAGTCACAGCCCCAGTGCCGGGTTACCGCGAAGGGGGCGCCCGCGGTTTGGAGAGGTGGGAATAGGGGCCCGTCTGAGAGGGGGCCGCAGTCATGGTGGTGTTCTTGGGCCGCCACCTCCCGGCGCTCCTCGGCCTTTTTAAGAAGAAGGGTGAGTGGGTGTGGCTTGGCAGGGGACAGGAGGGGTCCCTAACACCTGTTTGCCAGACCCTTCTGTACAATGGGGAGGGGGTGGGTGTCAAGGCCGGGGAAGGGTAATGCGTGGGGGATGAGGACTAGTAATAAGACCCGAATCCCCTGTCCGCCGCCTTGCCTTTGTCCAGCCGCATTTCTGACGCCTTTGTCAGGGCCTGGCTTGTGTTTGGGAGGACAGATCCAGGTGTCTCTGACCTTGAAGTCTGCAGCCCTTGGGCAAGACTGCCTCCCTGCAGGGTTACCCACACTTTACTGGGTACATCCCAATACCTCAGTTCTGAGAAGTAGGGCATCCCCCTGCTAAGTCAGTCAGTCAGTATGGAAGGATGGTCATAGCTTACTGGACTTTTTGGGGGACCAGAGGATCCCCAGTTTGAGTGTGATCCAGGATTTCCCTCTGGTCACCTGGAGTACAGTCCTGACTCTGCTTTGCTGGGTGACCTTAGGCAAGGCCTTTCCTCTTTGAGCCTGTTTCCAGACTTGTAAAATTAGGGGGTCAGATGACGCTTGACTGAATCCATTGTTGGGAGACCTTCCAGCTCTGACCTTGTGGGGTTCCTGCAGATTCTCTGGGCAGCAGCTGGCTGTTGAAGAATGTGCTGAGGAAGGAGGGAAGAGGAAAGGGGCAGGTGTCTGACCAAAGCCCCTGACTTGCAGTGTGGCCCTTTAAAGAGCTTGGTTTATTCCTGCCCCTCCACAAAAAGGGGGGCTGGGGCTGCAAAATGCTGACTCAGCCCCGAAGTTCTAGGATTAGATGGCCAGCTCCCCGATGGGCGGGGCCTGTAACAGGATCCTTTGTAATGGATCCCTGGCTCCTCTGCACCAGGGGAAGGGGGCCTCTAAGTGAGGGGGATGCGTGGGACGTTACCCCAAGAGAGGCTGAGTTGCCTTGTCTGGGGCTAGAAGGGCCTGGGTCTTTCTTCTGCCCTCCCCTGCCCATTCTTCCACTAAGGGACAGCCACATGGGTGAGTAGGGGACCCAAGAGGCCATATCCCTGGTTTGTCCCTCCCTCCAGGACTTCCTGGGAATCTGGTTATGACCCCTGCTAGCCTCCAGCCCTCCCTGGTGTCCCATGGTGTCTTCCTGAACCTGGGCCAAGGTGGTGTATGAAAAGGGTGGTTTGATTTCCTGTGAAGTGTAGAGCATGGGGTCTGGGGACAAGAGAAATGTATTTGCTGTGGGCTATGTGTATACAGGGGTGTCTTGTATGGGGCCCTGAGTGATGTATACATATATATACATAATTGTATATATATTTGTGTACTGTTTGTGTGCAGAATGAGGACTGTGTGTTCATGTGTATATGTTGGAGTGGGGTGTGCTCTGTGGGGGCCCCTGTGTATGGTGTGGGTACACAGATGTGTTTATACTTGGGTGCTAGTTATTTCTATACATACTGAATCTGTTGGTGTGTATATAGACTGAAGCCTGTGGGTGTTTGTGTGCTTATACAGTGGCCTGTGTGCTCTAGGTGTGGTGCCCTGTATGGGGTCCTTCATTTAGTGTGAGTAGTCAGATATATGTACACTTGGGTCTAGTTTGTGTACGTACATAGAGGTTGAGTGTGTTGTGTCCCCGCCTTAGAACTGGGGGCTGTGTGTACAAACTCGGGGAAAGTGGGTATTGAACGTATACACGTGCAGTCTAGAGACTGTGGGTGCCCTTGTTGTGGTGTCTGCATTCCCAGGGCCCAGATGCCTTCAGGCCTCACTTCTTCCTCTTCCATCCCACTAGGCTCTGCCAAAGCTGAGAGCGACAAACGACTAAGTGTGGGGCCTGGCCAGGGGCCAGGGTCTGTGGTGGATGAGCACCAGGACAATGTCTTCTTCCCGAGTGGGCGACCGCCTCACCTGGAAGAGCTGCACACACAGGCCCAGGAGGGGCTCCGTTCCCTACAACACCAAGGTAATCTACCCTCCCTCAGTGCTGCTCTCAGCTCCCAAGGTCAAGGGCCTAGCCCAACATACTTTTCTGGTGTCTTCTAGAAAAACAGAAACTGAACAAGGGTAGCTGGGACCATGGAGATACCCAGAGCATTCAGGTGAGGTGTGCCCCCAGCTCAGTCCTGACTCTCCTCTTCCCTCCCTGCTTGACTGCTCATAAGTAAGTCTTTGACCCTTCTCAGGTCAAAGGATCTCAGTTTCTGTCCTGTATCAGGAAGGGCTAGACAAGATGACCCCTGAGGGGGCCAGTTTAGCTGATGTCTGTTCAGTGCTAGGTGATGCTGGGGAGAAATTGAATCAAAAGTTCCAAAGGAGAGCCCCCAAGAAGCAGTAGGAAACCTTGCCCATGCCTCTGGGATGTTCCTGGATCTGAGGCCAGGGCTTGATCCCCTTCTTCTCCCAATAGTCCTCCCGGACAGGGCCGGATGAAGATAGCATCTCCTTCTGCAGCCAGACCACAACCTACACGGCTGAGAGCTCCACAGCAGAGGATGCTCTCTCCATCCGCTCAGAGATGATCCAGCGCAAAGGTGTGTCTGCTTCCCAGCTGGGATTCTTGGACAGGAGAGAAGGGTGGTGGGCACGATCTGGGTCTAGCATCTACAGCTTCCCCTTTTCCTCATAATCTAGTCTTTCCCAAGGCTCCACGATTCAGTGAATTCAGCAAACACATCACCCTTTGTCTTGGAGATTAATGATGCATATTAACTGCAAAGCAGGACAGTTAAGAGTTGGGAAACCTGGGTTTGAGTCTGGTGGTGCTACTTACCAGCTGTGTGACCTTGGGCCAATCCTTAACCTCTCTGAGCTTTTAATGTTCTATGAAAATGAGGACAAGAGTACTTACAGTACTGGAATGAATGCCAAGGGTTTAGCATCCTAATGCATAAGTGTCTAGCTTTGTTTAACCTAGCTGTGTCCATACCTACTTGACTATGGAAATCTCTTTTCACAGAGCTCTTACTAATATTCAACAAAAGTAGTGCTCTGCTGAACGTGCCCTGAGATCTGTTCTAACAGTTTCTCTCCTCTGGACCGGCCCCCAGGCTCCACCTTCCGACCCCATGACTCATTTCCCAAATCATCTGGAAAGTCGGGACGGCGGCGGCGGGAACGGCGGAGCACGGTGCTGGGACTGCCGCAGCATGTGCAGAAGGAACTTGGTGAGCCTGGATTAGGACAGTGGGGATGGGGAGGAGCATGGTGGACCCCTCTGCTGACTCCCATGACCTTCCTGTCCACTACAGGCCTGCGAAGTGAGCGTGAGGCACCAGGTGCTCCTCGACCTCATGGTCCACGGGATGCTGTACGCATTCCCACAGTGGATGGCCGCCTGGCGGGCCTGGCCTCAGGGTCAGGGGCCCGGGTGTCTCTGCAGGCTCTGGAGGCAGAGGCGGAGGCCGGTGCTGAGGCTGAGGCCGTGCTCCAGCACCACATTGACCGTGTCTACCGGGATGACACCCTTGTTGGCAGGTCCACGGGGGTACGGCCCCCACCAGTGATCCGACCCATGTCCCTAGCGGTGCCTGGACTGACAGGGGGGGCAGGGCCTCCAGAGCCCTTGAGCCCGGCCATGTCCATCTCACCCCAGGCCACCTACTTGTCGAAACTGATCCCGCATGCTGTACTGCCACCCACAGTGGATGTGGTGGCCCTGGGCCGCCGCAGCCTGCGCACACTGAGCCGGGGCAGCCTGCTGTCGGCCAGCCCGGCCTCTGTCCGCTCGCTGGGCCTCTTCTCCTCGGCTTCTAGCCCACGGCCCCACAGTCGTCATCCGTCCTCCTCCAGTGACACCTGGAGCCACTCTCAGTCCTCTGAGACCATTGTGTCTGACGGCTCCACCCTTTCATCCAAGGGTGGCTCAGAGGGCCGGCCTGAGGGCTCTGTGACCAGCAGTAGTGTGGCGCCTCCTCCCCAGGGGGGCAGTGGGAGGGGCTCTCCCAGTGGAGGCAGCACTGCTGAGGCCTCAGACTCTGTCAGCATTCGGAGCAGTGGGCAGTTGTCTGGCCGGAGTGTGTCTCTACGTAAGCTAAAGCGGCCTCCCCCACCTCCCCGCCGGACCTACTCACTCCATCAGCGGGGCTCAGCAGCACCCGATGGGCCCCTGGGGCTGCCCCCCAAGCCTGAGCGGAAGCAGCAGCCACAGCTGCCTAGGCCGCCCACCACTGGGGGATCAGAAAGGATGGGGGCAGCACCCCGTGCACCCGACTCAGCAGGCAGCTGGGTGCCAGGTTTGTCTCCAGGTGGCTCCCGGCGCCCCCCACGCTCCCCAGAACGGACACTCTCACCCTCCAGTGGATACTCAAGCCAAAGTGGTACCCCTACCCTTCCTCCTAAGGGTCTAGCAGGGGCCCCTGCCTCCCCAGGCAAGGCCCAGCCTCCTAAACCAGATCGTGTCACTTCCCTTCGATCTCCTGGGGCCTCTGTCTCCTCCTCCCTCACATCTCTGTGTTCCTCCTCTTCGGACCCAGCCCCTTCAGACCGTCCTGGTCTACAGATGTCAGCCACCCTGGGTGACAGGTTTGTCATACCCCCTCACCCTAAGGTGCCTGCCCCCTTCTCCCCACCGCCCTCCAAGCCCAAGAGTTCTAACCAAGCTGCCTGTGTACTGGCTGTCGTTGGGCCTGTCCCTACCACTGATGCCAGTCCTGAGTCCCCTCCCACTCCCCAGACATCCGTGACCCCAGCACGGGAGTCTCCCATTGCCTCTAAAGACCTGTCACCCCCACCATCCCCACCCCCATCTTATCATCCACCCCCACCACCCACCAAGAAGCCAGAGGTGGTTGGGGAGGCCCCATCTGCTCCAGAGACTGCTGAGGAGTTGCTTCAAGATCCCAGCTGGCCCCCACCGCCGCCTCCTGCACCCGAGGAGCAGGACCTGTCCATGGCTGACTTTCCCCCACCCGAGGAGGCCTTTTTCTCTGTGGCTGGCCCTGAGCCTGCAGGCTCTTTAGAGCCCCCAGGGCCTGTCAGGTCTCTGGCTGCCCTGCCCTCCTCAGCTACTGTCTCTTCCCAGAGCCAGCACCATGGCACCCCAGACACTTCTCCAGCTCTGCCAGCCCCACCTCCTGCTGCTTCTGTCACAGGGCTTCCGCCCAAACTCCCGCTAAAGGAAACAGTGGACTGCAGCAAGGGCAGTGGGGCTCCCAGGGAGGATGCTGGTGCGCTGCTAGTCACGCCCTCACTCCTGCAGATGGTTCGGCTCCGCTCTGTGGGTGCGCCCACAGTGGCACCAACCCCAGCTTCAGGGCCATCAGCCCCCCAGAAGCCGCTACGAAGGGCCCTGTCAGGGCGGGCCAGCCCAGCACCTGCCCTCTCCTCAGGGCTTCATGCTGCCGTGCAACTCAAGGCCTCCAGTCTGGCCGCCAGTGAGGACCCCATGAGTGCCCAGCCCAATGGACCGCCTGAGATAAAGCCACGGTCTCCACAGTCCCCAGCCTCTACAGCTAGCTTCATCTTCTCCAAGGGCACTAAGAAGAAGCAGGTGGAGCGGCCCGTGTCCCCTGAGACCCAGGCTGACCTCCAGCGGAATCTGGTGGCTGAACTTCGGAGCATCTCAGAGCAACGGCCACCCCAGGCCCCAAAGAAGCCACCTAAGGCCCCACCACCTGTGGCCCGCAAGCCCTCTGTGGGAGTCCACCCGCTCTCCTCCCCTAGCTTTCCGCCAGCTGAGACCCTTACTGCTCCTCCCACCAACGGGCTCCCTCATGCTGAGGACAGGACTAAGGGGGAGCTGACAGAGAATGGAGGTGTCATGCAGCTGATGGGCCCAGAGCAGCAGCAGCTGGGCCTGCCCGGCTCAGGTACAGTGGGACTGGTGGCATGTGGGTCCCATCACTGGTGATAGGAAAGAGGTATCTGAGGTCCCGTTAGGGATTTGCTTTTCCATCATTAAGACTTCTCTGGACTCAGGATGCCTGGGGAGGATGAACTATCACCCATGAGCTACAATGAAGGAGCATAATGTGTGAGGCTTTGAAGTTGGACCTACTGAGTTGGAATTCCAACTCTGCCATTTTATCTACCCATCCTGGCCTCAAGTTACTCACTGTAAAGAGTGGGGTGATGATACCTATGTTGTAGTGTCAGAGGTGGTATTTGTAGAGTCCAGCCCAATGCTGCTGGCAGGGTCAGTAAACTGAGGGGATGAGGATGTACCTTGGGCTCTTAGTGGCCAGAACCACCAGAGGCCCTTTGCTGACTGTCTCTTCTTTCTTCCCACAGACCTACAGAAAGAGCTGGTCTGACCACAGGCACCTCAGACACTGCTGACCCATCCCAGGATTACAATCTCAGGGACCTGAGCAGCTCCAAGGATGAGAGGATATGGCAGACACTTAACCTGATAAGAGAGGATGCCTGCAGCCTTAACCTTCATGCCTTTGATATTTATGCAAGCCTGGTGTTGATCCTGTCCTCCAAGTCATCCAGCTCTCATGCCTTTTCCTGAATGGATTCATCTCTGGTAGCTGCCACTTCAGCCTTGGCCTTAGCCTCATCTGGAAAGAGGTAGCTGGAGGGAGTGGGTGGCTGCGCCCCCTGCTGGCCCTGAGGCCACAGAGTTGGGAGCAGAACACCTCATCTGAATTCATTTTTTTTTTCATGTCCAAATCATGCACATACTGTAGTCCAGAATGAAAGCACTTTTGAAAAGCAGCTGCATGTCCATCCTCCAGGGCCCGTGAAGCCACATTCTAAGAGCCTGTTTACATGGCAGCAGCGTCAATCCCTGGTAGCCGGCCCATGTCTGGGACCAATCTATCCCCTCTCTCTGATCCAGCTTGCTTCTTTTTCTTAGTTCTTGGAGGAGGGCCAGTCATTGTTCCCATAGGCTTCTCCAGGCTGAAGGCAGGGGCAGGGCTGTGAAATTCCAAAGCACAAAAGGTGCAGCAGGGGTTAGCCTTCCTGTGCCTCAACTTACCAACCACCTGCCTGCCTTCTAGTTCTGCCAGGTGCTCTGTGCAGGGAACCAGGAGTGGGAGACTGCCAGGGAGGCCCATGGCTCTGTCTGTCTTCGGAGAGCAGGAAAACAGAACAGGGAGCCATCTTGGCAGGCATTTGGTAATGCCAAGCATCTGCCCCTTATTTTACTTGAGCAGGCTGGGGTGGGCAGGCACATTTCAGAGGCAGGAGCCTACGGGTGGTGGCAAGCTGTGTCCCTTTTAGCTGAGCAGTAAATTCTGAGGTAGATGGAGGGGAGGGTCTGGCAGAAGGGAGAGCTTGTTTGGGCAGTGGGCCCAAATTTGGCTCTACAGATGCTATTCTCTGACCTCTCTACTCTGGCACATGGCCTTTCAGCACAGGTGATTATCCACTGTGAGGAATGGGGGCTGATGTGGAGTGACAAGGATGAGAAGCCAAAGGTGCATCTGTTGCAGACTTTTCCCTAGTTAGGGAGGAGGCACTCAGTGCTCCTAGGGAGCAGGCCGGGTATTTGCTCCCTAGACATTGGCCTCTGCTACTGATTTCCAGGAATTTTAACCACCTGTTTTCAGCCTGTGCCATCTATCTAGCTGGCTTCCCCACTGGCCCCTGTGGCTCCACAGGGGTGGCCCTGGTGCTTCCTTCCACAGCAGCATAGCTGCCACTAGGGCAACCCCTTTCTGTTTTGATCCTCTTTTCTCAATAGTGGCTTGGGCTTGCGCCTGGCAAGGAACCTTGCTCTAGCTGCTTCTGTGGAGGAGATTGACCCCCTCCCAGAACAAGAGCTGGGAACACAGGGGATGTGGTACAAGAGCCCAGGTTTCTCTGACCCTCTCACTACCGTCTCCTTCCTGTAGCTGTAAACCAATGTTCTCCCCTTACCCTTTGGGTAATAGGGAGCTGCTGCTGGGTACACTAGGGAGAACTGTCAGTAAGCACTTCTCTGCTCAGAGTTTCTGATGCAGCCCCCTGGGAACCAGGACCAGGCCAGAGCCCCCTGAAACCAGGCCCTTGGAGCTGCTGGAGGGAGAGGGAGCTCAATTTCTGGGTCTCTTTCCCTCCCCTCCCCTCCCCAGGTTACTCCAGCTCCTTATCCTCAGAATCTTCTGAGCTTGTTTGTCCTCTAGGGTAACTGAGTGTGACCTAGTGCAAACGGAGAGACCAAAAGCCTCTGATTTTTAATTTCCGTAAAAACGTTAGAGATTGAAGTACATGTATGTATACATATATATATATGTGTATATATATATATTTCTTTAAATTTTTGAGTCTTTGATATGTCTATACAAACAATCCATTCCCTCTGCCCTGAAGCCTGAGACACATAAAAAGGCTGTGTGTGTGTGTCATTCAAAGGTGTTAAATAATTAAATGATTAAAACTTGGCTGTGGCTGCTGCTTCTTAGGAGGAGGGACAGGAAGGTGGTCTGGGCCCACATTTAAATGGGAACATGTTCAGCCCACTCCAAACACAGGACCACAAAGTGGGCCTCATCTTCGTACTGCCAAAGAAGTCCAGGTGTCCATCATCATCCTATCCAAACCACCCCCCCAGTTACAGGGTCAAAAGTCCAAGACACAAGCAGTCCTGGGTGAGGGCCCAGCAGCTGCTACACACTTGTGTCCCTCTCTCCTGAGGTGACCTAGCTCACAGGCCCCATCCAGACATCCTTGTTCAGATTTTATTTGAATTCATGACAGTGATGGTCAGTGACTCTGAGATGCTTTATGGAGACGTACCCCACCCTCTCTCAAGAAAGGACCAGCCTGTGCCATCTATTCTACTTTTGATGTTAACACACAGCTGGTTTGGGGAATATCCCAACTTAGAGGATCAAGAGAAATTCCAGGAGCCCTGGGGCACGCCCTGCCCTCCAGCGCCAAGCCTCCGGGCTGGCAGGCATTGGGAGACAGCTGCCAACCACTTGGTGGACCACAAGGTTCTTGTTTTCCCTTCCCTTTCCTTTTCAAATCCCACAATTTCCTGTAATTAAGTTCAGTCAGACACCAGAACCCAGTCAGAGGTACAGCTGCTGGGATAACTCTAGGAAAACTTGGGAACCAATATTATTCCAATTAGAAGGGTTGTGGCATAAACTTTTTCTATGAATTACACTGAAACCAGATTTCTCAAGTCAGCTGCCAAAGGAAGAAGGCAGAGCTGGGCTGGCTGCTGCCCCACCCTCGTTGCTACCTGGGAGGCCAGCCTGGATGATCCTGCATTCGGGGAGGCTGAGCTGCCTCTCACCAAGTTCTGCCCCTAATCAAGTCCCAAGCTTCCTGCTTCAGTGTCCTGGGGGATGGGTAAACAGGCGATGGACGAGGGAACTGAGGAGAGAGCAGATCAGTCAGGATGATGGGAGAGGGGAGGAAGACGCTGGCTTAGCTAGCTGATGCTTCCCCCTTTCAGCGATTTACAGGAGATACGTCCCAGCTTGGTCATGAAGTTGCTCTGCTTCCACTGAGCAATGCACTCCTCAGAAATTTTAAAGTCAGCCTAGACAAGATAAACAGAGTTACTACATTGATCCAAATTGACGGTGGCAAGTCTTCAAGACAACAATAACAACTCTCTTACGATGAGTAAACAGACTCAACTTCTCCAAGAGCAGTTTGTCAAAAGCTGTCATGTTCATGTAAATTTTGACTCAAGTAAATTCATTTTAGGGATTTATTTTACGGAAAGTCATGAATAACTACAAAGAACAATGTACCAAGACACCATCCCACCATTCTAATAGTGAGAAACTGAGAACCTCAATGTCCAAGGTTTAGTAATTTGGTTAAATTATGCTAATTATGATGCAATGCTAATTACTAAGATCCCCCTCAATATTTAAGAGGATGGGGGAGTTTTTTTTGCACTAAGTTAAATAAAAAAAGAATAAATGTATATGATTCAAACTGTAAATATATTATCTTTGCACAAAGAAAGTCCAGAAGGAAAGAACACTAATGACATTCTTCAGTATCTCCAGGTACCCAGACTATGGATATTTTATTTCTTTCATTTACCCCTCTATTTTAGACATACCTACAATCAATATTTATTTATAGCCAAAAAATAAATTATTTAAAAAAAACCAGCCTGGAAAATCAGGTAAGGAAAGGGTGGACAGAGCCATTTGCCACATGTAGGAGGATGGAGAGAGGCAGAAACCTCTCTGTATGTCCTTCAGAAACACTTTGTCCAACTGAGGAAACAAGGTATTAACTAGAAAAAGCCACACGTTAGTTCTATGAAGAGACTGAATTTCTGCTGCTTTATTAATTGATGTAGCCTAAGCACCTAGAACTGTGCCTGATATAGATACTAGGGACTCAGTATTACTTGAATGAATGAATTCAGGGTCACAAGGGCAGGCCATATAGAGTCAATGCCCCTGAGGGTGAAGAGGGAATGTGTGCTCTAAATCACAGAGGGTGGGAGAGGCCCTGGGAGGATTTTGATTCTGGCCCATCACTTCTGGTGACTCTGTGTGGCCTTGGCAGGTATCCTGCCAGTTAAAATGGGGATAATTCCTTAAGATGGCTGAAGATCAAATGAAAAAATGTCTGCAGTCCCTCACATGGTGCCTCTGACAGTCTCTCAGTACTGAGGACGGGAGGGTGCCCATACTCTTTGGGCATATCCTGCAGAAATGTCTGGAATGAAGGAGAGGCTCAGATGCAATCTCGCATCTCGCGCAGCTGTGGGTTCAGTAACAGAGCAGTTCTAGGAACATAGGCCTGGCAGCCCAGGGAAGAGAGAACTACTGCAGCTTTTTACCTGTAACTTCTCAAAGACTTTCTTCTTGGGCTTGAGCTCTTCGTCTGGTTGGCCCTTCTCATAGCCCTTCACAAACACTCGCTCACCAGGAGCAGAGCCTGCAGGAGGGTCCAGAGGCTCAACCTTGTGGCTTGTTCCTTCTCTGGGGAGACACAGGACAAGGAAAGATTGAGGCTACGGATGGCCTCTGGTTGCCATGGAGGCCAAAGCATTACGGCCTTTACATAGGGGTCCTAATGGGATTTAGAGCTTTCTCAATGCCAGAGCCCCAGGTCCTCACTGTTGTACTAAATGTCTGGATAACACAGGGCTAAACTGAAATCCTATGTTGGGAGAGACCCCAAAATCTGGGCTTTTAAGGGAGGAAGTGTCTGTAATGAGACAGCATGGCCTTAATAGCCAATGAGAACTGGGTTTGAATCCTGGCTCCACCTTTTCCCAGTAGTGAGAGTTTGTAGTGAGACACTGCTTTGAACCTTCAATTTCTGTTTTAATAAAATTAACTTTTGGTAAAGTGCTTCATTCACAGAACTTGCACAATAAACAATTCCTTCATGCACTGTCTTTTGGACAATGTTTTCATGGTTTCTATCTGGCATATGGAAGGGCATCCTGTGGGCCAATTCCCCCCTCTTCTTGGCCTCCCTGGGTGCTGTGCCCCACCCCACATCCTCACTCACATAGAGGCACACAGAAGCATGCCTTGAGACTCAACTCCTCTCATCTTCTGGGGTTTCAGATTGCACAGCACCACCACCAGCCTATCCTGCAGTTCCTCCTTGGGTACAAACTGCACCAGGCCGCTCACCACAGTCCGTGGCTCAGCTTCTCCCACATCAATCTTCTCCACATACAGGCTGTCTGCTTCTGGATGCTGCCAGCAAGAGATATCAGTCCCAGAGAGTATCATAATGGGAAAGATCATAAGGCCTGGTGAACCTGGACTCTGGAAAGGTTCATCCGCTCCCCACAGAGGCCTCCGAGGGACGCTCCAGCATTAACTCTCTTTCCAGGTCCCAGATAGCAGACAGGCCAATGGGCTTCGAAGGTACATTCTACTCTCAACCAAGAGGCAGGCATTGAGTAAAATGAGCCTAACTGTGTAAGATGAGAAGAAATCTCTAACAGAGATTAAATGGTCTGGGCTATCTGGCTAGCTACCATCATGGCCATAGCTGCACAGGTCGGTCCTCAGTGACTGGGAGGTGGGAGAGGCACCATGGCTGGCCTCGCCATCTGAAAGTGCATCAGTTGTTCTTGCAAAGCAGTGTAGGTGGTTGGATGGTTACAGTGAAAAAAAAAGGCAAATCAATGCTGGGAGGGGAAAAGTGCCTACAGCAATGGTTCCAGCTCACTGGCTACATAACCTTCCGTCTCTGGGGAAAAGTCCTCCTTTCACCATTTTCCGGGAGGTGGGGATGAGTGGGAGACAAAGCAGCTGATCCAAGATAAGGCCTGCAGCTAGTCCAGACAAGCCAGTAGCGGCCAGGTGAGTCCACCAGATTGATTTAATGGATAAACAAGTTCTCTCTGACTAACATCCGCCCCCTACTCTGAGTTCCTGGCTGTGTTTGGTTGCACAGGGTCCAGAGGCAGCAAAGGGAAAAGCCTGATGCCTGGAATCAGACCTGGGTTTGACCTGCAATATGACCGTGGGAATGTTGCTTCCCATCCTAGGCCAGGTTTCCTCCAGATGGAGACAGACAGACCTGACCCCTACCCACCTCTCTGGGATGTGAAAAACGAGTACCTTGTCCACACTAATGACTTTCCCCACACGGATGTCCAGCCGGGATGGGATGGCCTCTGGTTCTGAATTCTTGACAGGGCCTTTGGCAAGTGGCTCTGGGAATGAGAAGAACCCCAAGGGGTCAGAATTCTCCTTTCCCATGATTGGTCAACGGCTAGCTGATCCCACCAAATGAGGATAGTAGCAGAAACTGATGCAGAATCTCCAGAATCTGCCCACTGAGTTCTACCTTCTTAAAAATGGGGTCAGAAACCTTTGAGAAGGGACCCGCCAAACTTTCATCTATTCTCTCCCTCAGTTCTTAGGCTGGAAGGACAGGGTGGGGGTAGCAGTGGCTTTGCCACCTCTACGCATTTCCATTCACGCATTCCACTTATATTTACTGCATCTTTTCTGGGAGGGTCACACAAAACTATTGATATTAAGTATCTCAACATCACAGACAAATAGTTGGCCAAAGAAGAGCCAGTCAGAAGCATGTGGAAGAGACTGGGGAAAATCTGAAGATGAGCTTCCCTACAGACGCCATGCGGGCTCCACCTGAGCAGAGCAGTCAGGCAGGGCACATTTGTGGTCTGACCTGCCTGTCTCCCTAACTGAAGAGGCGGGTTTAGCAGGATTAAAGTACACATCTCACACCAGCATCCCCCAGGAGGGTTGGCACAGCAGGATGTAAATGTAACTCCAGAGCAGAATTAAACCCCGAAGAAGAGGACACACATTCCATTCCCATAGCCAACAGGGTAAGACAATCTTACACTTCTGGCCCCGGGGCTTTTTGGCCCTCAATGCGAGAGACCTTTTCTCAATGCGGAGGCCCACCGACAGGCTCCATCCTGGTGAGGTCATCCCTCTCCCCCGCTGTCCCAGCAGGCCTTACTCTGCTTTGAGGGATCTGGGTAGGCAGTGCTAGACAGTTTCTTCAGTGCAGGGGTATTGAACTTTTCCCGGATGGGGTCCAACAACTTGTTCAGGGCGACTTCCACAGACTTCTTTAGGTCTCCTGGGTGCACTACCTGCAAAAGTACACAAAGGCCTGGTGAGATGAGGCACTCCAGGGGGGCACAGGCCATCCAAATCCACTATGAATAATGTGCATATAGGATGCAGGCTGTCTTCCCAACAAGAGTCTTTGATCCTCAGAACAACTTAGTGAAGCTGGTGAAGCAGAGAAGAGGAAAAAAGTTCAGAAAGGTATCAAACTTGTCTGAGATCCAGGTCTTCTGACTCTGAATTTCAAGCTAACTTGAGGGTTTTTAGATGCCAGATGTTAGCAGACAAATTATTGTTCCTCCATTTATGCAAAGTTCAGTGGCATAAGCGAGGTGTCATTTATAGGCACAGAAATATTTGCATCGGCAACCCAAGGGCTAAAGATAGCCTGAAGTGGGGCTGACTGAGCAGGGAGAACAGGGCTCTGGATCTGGTCAGACAGGGCTTAGAGTCCCAGCTGGTATGTGACCCCAAACCAAGCACTGAAGTTTGATATTCTTCACCTGGTAAGGTAACAACACCTCTACCTCATAACGTCAGAACAAGGATTAAATCACAACATCGGGGGACATGGTGAGCAGTGCTGTCAGTTCAGTAACCCAATTTTCCTTCTTGTGTCCTGTGACTAGGCCTGGAAGGATCTTCTAGTTATTCTGAGGGGATATGCCTTAGGTACGAATACCTATACTATAACAGTGCTTACATTTTTGTTCCTGATGCTATTCCTTCATTTTCTTGGGACTATTTCATTTTTTACAATAAGAAAGCTTTAGACCTACACTGTCCAATATGGTAGTCATGTAGATATTTAAATGTAAATTAGAATTCAGTTCCTCAGTTGCACTGGTCACACTGTAAGGCTCACCAGCCCCATGAGGCCAGCAGCAGCTGTGAGACAGTACAGGCAGAACACCTCCACCACCACAGACGTGCTGCTGGATAAACTGCTCCAGGCTTTTTCCAGATGCATTCCTTCTATTCCCTCTCATTATTCCCACAAAGAACTGCTCACAGGGTGGAGGACTGGAGTACAGAAGGGATGCAGAGCTACGGTGGTGAAACATCCAAAAAATGGGCCTTAACAGCCCTCAGAACCTCAGAGGTCACTGGGTCTTTTCCTCCATTTGATGCTCAAGCCCTCATACAACACTCTGACCTCTGCCTGAAGACCTCGATGACACAGGTCATGCGAGTTAGCCTGTCCATTGTCATACAACTGAGATCATGAGAAAGTTCTTCCTGATGCTGGACCTAAACATGCCTGCCTGTGGGTCCACCTGCAGTTCTGGTTTGGCTCTATGGTGCCTCAAGAAGAAACCTAACCCCTCTACTGAGAGAGTCCTTCACTGATTTGAGGATGATCAAACACATACTTCCTTCCCAGATAAACACTCCCAGGTCTTTCAAGTGTGCTTTTGTGACATGGCATTGAGTCTGTCTGTTCCTTATCACAGCAGCCTTCCTCTCCCCACTCACACACCCCAGGCTGTCAAAAAACCCACACAAAATTGAGCCCACGGCTGAATGTGCAACTCCAAATGTACCTGCAATAATGGGAAACTGAATGGACTATCAACTCCCTGGTTAGAGACTCCACATTTCTGATGTCTTAGGCCAAGACTTCATTAACATTTCCAACAGCCCTATCATAATGCTGATTGAGCCCAAATTCAGTCAACCAAAACCTCCCATTTTCTTTCCTTACATAGGCCACTATTATATCTTTACTTTATGAGCTGGTCCTGCCTCTCTCTCCTAAATGTTCCCCCTCACCTTTTAGACTCTGGTCAGACCAAACCACTTGTGTTCCTCATGTACCATGCTGCTCCATCGTACCAAGTCTGTGCCCAATTTATCTCCTCAGGAACCCTTAATCCTCAAGTGAAACAGTGTTTACATGTTGACCCACCATGAAGCCAGCTAATTATTTCCTCATATTTTACTTTGGGGCCATGTACATATCTTCATTGTACAGTGACACAGTAAATGATAATATTTACATGTCTGCCTTTCCTATGGGATGATGAGCTTCATGAGGATTCAATCTTTTTTGTAATGCCAGCCCCTACCATGGCGCCTAACACATGGGCACCTCGTTTATCTTTCGTTAAACTATTTGAAATGAATAGTAGCCTCTATTTTGTCTTTTTATAGTTGTATCTTTTTTGAACCTTGTGTACCTTTCCCTAAGATGCTTCATATCATTGGGTTTGGCCCTTCATCCCAGGGTAAGTCCTTTGCAGAGTGATTAGGACATCAAAATATTAGCTTTGTGCCATCTGCCCAACTAACCTGTGAACATTACAAAATATATTAGCCCTGGAGCAAGAATGCCCTGTGGTACATAAGCAGGAACTGGGTAGGCCAAGATGGAGAGGTCTGTCACAATGAGTTCAGCGGGGATTACTCCTTTTCTGGTATTACCTCATCAGCAAAGTCCTTTTCCAGGTCCAGGTAAGCTGTGTAGGTTTTGTTTCCACCCCATTTCTCATCTCGAAGGATCACAAACTCTAGGAGAAAAAGGATCCACACCAACAAAATCAGTGATAATGGCAGAGTCAGCATTCCTAGCTCAAATGTATGGGTATCTGTAGTTTTTGCATATATTTTGAATTTCATTATATGGCATTTTATTGTTCTTAAATTGAAGAGTGGCCATGTTATAGCCCAGAAAGCATCCAAGCTCAAAAGGAAGGATTGTGCCTTACATGATTTTATGTGCCTCTGATTCAACATGCCTGCCTCTGCCCTCATTTCTACAACCCCTCCCACCCACCCACTCCACTTAGACCCTAATCCAGTAACAAAACACATGGATAACTAAATGATACCCCAACTTCAATCATACATTAATACATATGAAATCAGAGAAGCCCATCCCTGGAGAAAGACTCTTAAAAATCAGAAATATGATCAGCGCACTTGTTTCACATTTCAGCCCGGCCTCTGAGAAGTCATCAGGGAGTGTCTTACCGGACTTGAGGGGAAAGAGAACATGCTTGATGAAGGATAAAACCCCGTTGTTCTCCACATTCCCTGGCTCACAGAAGGCCTTCTTCAGCTTTTTCTTCACATCCTCCTTCGGATCAAGGAGATCAATCTTGGACTCCTAGAAGCCATGGAGAAGAGGACCTCTTGTGGTTGAAAATGATAGAGTATGCTCAACTAATCTGCATATATATATATATATATTTAAAATTTTTTTATTAAAGTATTATTGATATGCACTCTTATGAAGATTTCACAAGAAAAACAATGTGGTTATTACATTCACCCTTATTACCGAGTCCTGCCCCATACTCCATTGCAATCACTGTACATCACAATAGTAAGATGCCACAGAGTCACTACTTGTGTTCTCTGTGCTACACTGTCTTTCCCACGATACCCCCCACACCATGTGTGCCAATCATAATACCCCTCAGTCCCCTTCTCCCTCCTTCCCCACCCACCTTTCCCCACCCCTTCCCTTTGGTAACCACTAGTCCCTTCTTGGAGTTTGTGAGTCTGCTGCTGTTTTGTTTCTTCAGTTTTGTTTCATTGTTATACTCCACAAATGAGGGAAATAATTTGGTACTTGTCTTTATCTGCCTGATTTATTTCACTTAGCAAAATACCCTCTAGCTCCACCCATCTTGTTGCAAATGGTAGGATTTCTTTCTTTCTTATGGCTGAATAGTATTCCATTGTGCATATGTCCCACATCTTTATCCTTTCGTCTACTGATGGACACTTAGGTTGCTTCCGTATCTTGGCTATTGTAAATACTGCTGTGATGAACATAGGGGTGCATATGTCTTTCTGAATCTGAGAACTTGTATTCTTTGGGTAAATTCCTAGGAGAGAAATTCCCGGGAAAAATGGCATTTCTATTTTTAGTTTTTTTGAGGAACCTCCATATTGCTTTCCACAATGGTTGAACTAATTTACATTCCCACCAGAAGTGTAGGAGGGTTCCCCTTTCTCCACATCCTCGCCAACATCTGTTGTTTCCTGTCTTTTCAATGGTGGCCATTCAATGAGCGATATCTCATTGTGGTTTTAAGTTGCATTTCTCTGATGATTAGCGATGTGGAGCATCTTTTCATGTGCCTGTTGGCCATCTGAATCTCTTCTTTGGAGAATTGTCTGTTCATATCCTTCGCCCATTTTTTAATCAGGTTATTTGCTTTTTGGTTGATGAGGTGTGTGAGTTCTTTATATATTTTGGATGTTAACCCCTTGTTGGATATGTCATTTACAAATATATTCTCCCATACTGTAGGATGCCTTTTTGTTCTGCTGACGGTGTCCTTTGCTGTACAGAAGCTTTTTAGCTTGATATAGTCCTATGTATTCATTTTTGCTTTTTTTCCCCTTGCCCAAGGAGATGCGTTCAGGAAAAATTTGCTCATATGTATATTCAGGAGATTTTTGCCTATGTTGTCTTCTAAGAGTTTTATTGTTTCATGACTTACATTCAGGTCTTTGATCCATTTTGAGTTCACTTTTGTGTATGGGGTTAGACAATAATCTAGTTTCATTCTCTTATATGTAGCTGTCCAGTTTTGCCAACATCAGTTACTGAAGAGGCTGTCATTTCCCCATTGTATATCCATGGCTCCGTTATCATATATTAATTGACCATATATGCTTGGGTTTATATCTGGGCTCTCTAGTCTGTTCCATTGGTCTATTGGTCTGCTCTTGTGCCAGTACCAAACTGTCTTGATTACTGTGACTTTGTAGTAGAGCTTGAAGTTGGGGAGTGTAATCCCCCCAGCTTTACTCTTCCTTCTCAGGATCACTTTGGCTATTTGGGGTCTTTTGTGGTTCCATATGAATTTTAGAACTATTTGCTCTAGTTCATTGAAGAATGCTGTTGGTATTTTGATAAGGATTGCATTGTATCTGTAGATTGCTTTAGGCAGGACGGCCAATATATATTTTTTAAATAAAGATTTAAACATTAACAACTTTTATAAAAACAGAATTAATCAGAGTGAAGAATCACTCACTCATAATATTGCCACCCAACAACAACAAAAACACAACTTTTTATTTTTACTGTGTTCTTCCCAGGCCTTGTCTATAGCACACAGAATCGTTACAAAGGTACAGTTAGAGAACAAATGTCTATCCTTTGCTTTTTCACTTGAGACTATATTGTAAGTATTTCTGAGTGGCTGCTTAGTCTTCACTTTTAATTTTTATGATGTATTATATTCACAATTATTATTAGTGACAATATAACTTAACTGTTAGATTATGTCTTAATTTTCACAAATTTATAATGCTACAATGAACATCTTTGCAGAGGTTTTTTTGCCTTCTCTAGGATTATTTCCTTAAGCTAACAGAAATTGCTAGGCCCAAAACTATTTCCTGAAAGGGGTACACTAACTGACATCGTCATCAGCAATGTGTGAGGGTACTTGTTTCAATGGATCACTGACACCAGATATTATGCATGATCTAGGGCCATGTTTCCTTTTTAGGGTAATAGAATTTGTTTCTTATTTTACAGTCAGTGAGCTCATGCTCATTTGGGTTCATTGGTTAACAAATTCTGGTCCACATATGACTGTGTAGGAATTACCTGGTACTTTTAAAAAGTATAAAATTACTGGACTCTACCTGAACCTTGTGAGTCAAAACATTAAAAAAATGTGTATTTTTAAAAAGCTCTCTGAGTGATTCTGGTGCCGTTAGGTTGAGGAACTGCTGCTGGTGCCCATTTCCCAGGTGAAGATATCGTGAATATCACCAGATAGGGAGGGTGAGTGACATGGCACTTTGTCAGAGAAGTAACTGACACATGGAGCACTTTAACATGAGAGAGAAAGGAGTAAGTATACTCCATTAAAAATGAAGAGACCAACCTCTGATCAAAGATGGAGAAGCAGGCTTAAAGGACTAGATGAGCAACCAAACATGACTTCGATGAGAATCACCCAGGAGGATTTGAGAGAAAATACAGACACCAGAGTGGTCCCTAAAGTGGTCCCCACTTTATCAGGAGTTCTAAGAACAGGGTCTAATCAACTCTTTTCTAAAAACATTCTCTATGTGATTCTGAAGATCAACCATGTTTGGGAAGCCAGAATTCAACCGTTCACATCTTTGGGTTCCACTAAGTCCTCTATTCTGTACCCTTGAGATCAAAACAAAAACATACTTTCCCTAAGACTTTTAAATGTTAAAAGATACATTTATCCTATTAATCACATCAAACATCACCCTAAGAATCAATATGCTAATTGGTGTAATGCAATCCCAGCCTTCTCATTAGTAATGCTGACTTTTATCATGATTCTATAAATGATGAAATTATTTTGGCTTGTGCTTTTTGTCAGTAGCAGTAAAACTGTTAAAATTATGACTGGATCCCATCAAGACTGCTTCTGAGTCCTTCAGTATTGAAGAATCCTGGAATTAACTGGATGGCTTAAGATCCCTTATAATTCAAATACTTGAGAATTCTAGTTAACCAGGTTAGAAGAATCCTCAGTCTTCTCATCTCCTGATAAGATTTCTATCAAATCAGAGTTGGCAACCTACCTCTTCTGAAGAGCTCATTTTATTGCCAGTTAATCCTGGAACCATAGGATTCATCAGATGGACCCGTTTTGAGTATCCAAGTGTAGGGAGGTACTGAGGGGTTAGAAAGAAACATACAAAGTACTATAAGTTCTATTAGTATAAGTTCCTCCTCAGTACCCTGATCTCATCTAACTTGGCTAGCAATTTAATGGTTTAATATATTCCTTCCAATCTTGTTTCTACTTAATATATAACTTTTCAATGGTGATCATAATGTAAACAAAGTTTTCTCTACAGCTTTGCAGGTAGTATTACATTGTGAGGCTACTGGATTTACCCTCCCATCATGAACAACTATAAAAGCTGTAAATACATAAAATAATCATTTGCGAGCATTGAACAGCAAGAGTAGAGCTACAAATCTTGAGAAAAGAGAAAGCAAAGCGACCCTATACTAATGCTGGCTTTCTCCTTGAGGACTTTTTTTTTTTTTTTTCAAACCAGGTGCTCAGAGAAAGAGACCAAGCACAGGGTAGCAATCTGACTAGGAAGCACAGGAGACAGAGACTGGATTTCAGGGCTGCCAAGAGGCTAGGGTTTAGGAAGGATTCTAGAGAAAAGGGAGCCCCTCTCCACAAACCTAAGTAAAAATTCCCCATTGATTTATTAACTGACTAATAGCTATGTATGCAAATGGAGAGACTCCAGAAAGCCCAGGAGAGAATGGGCTCTGGGAGGCCGGAGGCCTGAGCAGAGTTTTCAGAGGCTATACACAGTGCTGGGGGGATAGAGGTTGAAGATTAGGTCCAATCAAAGCAGAGAGGGCTTTGTGAACACCCTGAGATCCCAGCGTGAAAAACCAGAAAGACCACATCCTAAGAATAAGGATCATAACATAGGAGTAAGGGCAAAATTGAAACACTGGTTTTAACAAAGCCTAAAATCAACCTTTGTACAGGTTCAAGGTGATATAAGTAATTAAACAGCTTACAGAAAACAAAGCATGCTATAAACATAATCCAGAGCCTCTGCAAATCTATGATGTCTTTGATACAATAAAAAAGTACTAGAAATGGGAACCAGAAAAAGTGACTGACAGTTATGAGAAAAGTCAATAAAAGCTGACCCAGAAACAATCTAGAAACTAGAATAAGTAGATCAGGATTTCAAAATAACCATAATTGGTGTGTTAAAGGAAATAGAGAAAAAGATGGAAAAAATGGATAAAAGATGGAGAATTGTAAAAAAAAGAACTGGAACCTATAAAAAAAAAGAATCAAATGGAAGTTCTAAAGTAGCACAATACAATCTTGGATGGAGTTAATGGAAGACAGGGCTAATGAACTTGAAGAAAGGTCAAGAGAAGATCCAAACTGAAGCACAGAGGGAAGAAAGGAAAACAGCAGAACGGAGTATGAGAGACATGTGGGACACAATCAAGAGGTTGAACTTATGTATAATTAGAGAGAAAGAAAAAAAACTTTAAAAGCTGCCAAAGAAAGGATAGATTCTTTACCAAGGAGAACAATACTACTTATAGGTGACTTTGCAATGGAAACCAAAGAAGCCAGAGGCAATGGGACAACCCTTTAAAAAGTACTAAAAGAAAAATAATTGCCAACCTAGAATTTTATACCCAGTGAAAGCAAAAGCAAAAAGTGGAAAAAAAAAAGCTGTTATCAGACAAAAGATGAAAGAACTCATTACTAAGAGATCTGTACTACAAACACAGAATTCTGAGGGTGGACTCTTTAGGCCAAAAGAAAATGATCCCAGATGGAAGAACAGAGGCACAGAAGTACAGGAAGGAATCAAGAGTATCAGAAAGGGTAAGTAGGGATAAGTATTCATGAAAATTGACTATATAAAAAAACTATAATAAAGTCTTTGGGATGTAAAATATATATGCAAATAAACTCCATAACAATAGCACAAAGGGCAGGGAGGCATTAAATAAAGTAAAATTGGTGTAGGTTCTTTTAGTGTTGAGACAGTGATAAAAATATCTAACTGAAGCTGCAGTAAATCACAAAGATACACACTGTAATCTCTAGGACAGGAGTAGGCAAAACTTTTCTGGACAGGGCCAGATAATAACTATTTTTAGATGTCATTGGCCACATATTGTCTCTATTGCATATTCTTTTTAATTTTTTGTACAGCCCTTAAAAAATATTAAAGACATTCTTAGAGCTTGTGGTCATATAAAAACAAGCCATGGGCCACCTCTCTGCTAGGATAATAGAAGGTTCATCTAAAAAGTTAAGAGATGAGATAAAGTGGAATAAGTAGAAATACTTGATTTGTCAAAAAATTTACACTGTAAGCATTTCCCCATTCATTAAATACATCTAAAACAATTTAACATTATGTAATATTCCATCATAAGGATTTATCATTATGTATTTAATCAATCCTTTGCCACTGGATATAAATTAATTTCTAGATTTTTGCTTTAAATTGATAATGTGATACTTGATATATACATAACTGAAGTTGCACTTTTAAAATAATTTCCTTAGTAGAAATCTGTAGAATTATTAGAGCAAAGGATAGAAACATTTTAGGGTTGTTAAATCACCTTGCATGAATTTACATTTCTACTAACAGTGTTTTCTCTAAACCTTGCCAATACGAAGTTCTGAGATGCTTTAAAAAATACCAACTATTTTTCAATTGTCCTTTTCAACTAAAAGTCTTTCTCAGAAAATAACTATTATTATGCATTTGTGTGGGATTAATATATAAATCAAGTATAGAAATCAAATGTATAATCATATATGACTTGATTATTTTTCTTGTAATTCCTGGTAAGTGAGCAAGAACAGAACAAACAAGACCAAACAGTTTCTGTGACCTAATTGCCCTTGCTATTGTTTCAACACCATGTAAGACGTTGTGCCCCAGGAGACTGGAGACTGCCGAGGATTAAGTTTAGAGTTAGTTAATGGCTGTCTATTAAGTCCCCCACACAGAATTCTACTGTTGTTAACATGTATTGCTCAATAAATACGAAGGGTGCCCTCTCAGCATCACTCTTGTGCTGTTACGCCTTGAGTCCCCTGGCTGGTCCTTTCAGGTCTTCGATAACTCATCGTGTCTCTTCCCTTATCTGCAGATCAGAAGCCCAGAGGGACCGACAAGTGGCGCTCAAACAGGGACCGTTGAAACTCAGAGCTGGGAAGCTCCGAAAATCATCTATCCAGTTAAGACTCCCAGGAAAGTATACATAGGGACAGGGTCAAGACGTCAGGGACACTATAATGGGCCAACATGAAACTAAAGCAGATAAACTGGAGGATTACTTAAAATTACTCTGTGCTCTCCTAAAAACCTCAGGAGTGAAAACTTCTAAAAAAGACTGCTCAACTACACAAATATATTAAAAAACATTGTTACTAGTTACCGCCACAAAGAACCCTCAGACAAGCTGACTGGAGCAATGTATTAAGAAATTTCAAAAAGGCTCACAGACAGGGAAACATTATCCCTGTACTTGTTTGGGTGGATCTATGGCCCCTCAAAAAAAAATGTGCCTTACACACATTAGTTCATGAACAGCTTCAGCTAGATAGATTAGAATTTTTCACAAGCCCGTGGAATTCCCCTGCAGAGTCTGGAAAATGGAGACTCTTACATTACTTAAGACAAATTAATGCAGTCCTTAAACCTATGGGTCCTTTAGAAGAAGGCCTCACTTCTCCAGCTATGATTCCGAAAGACTGGGACATGGTTATCATTGATCTTAGACACTGTTTTTTTCACAATTCCTTTAGCCATGGCAAATAGGAAAAAGTTTGCTTTTACTGTACCCTCCTTAAATTTACAAGCTCCTTTGGAAGAATTCCAATAGAAAGTACTTCAAGGAATGTTACACAGCCCTACAATTTGTCAAAATTATGTGCACAGGGCTCTCTTGTCCCCTCCCGGCGTAAGCCAGGAGCTGTCTGTCCTCTCGCTGTATCTCTAAATAAAAGCCTGCCCTTAGCTCTCCTACCTTGACTGTTTGTAAAGTTCATTTATCAGCTCCACAAACAAGAACCGTGGCATCATCTTTGGGGGCTTGTCCGGGATAACTTCAGAGGTGAGTATCGGCATCCAAGCCTGCCTTTTCTTTCTCTGTCCTTATAGAATGAAGCCATCTATGGCACACAACATTGGGCGCTTGTCAGCCACTTAAACGAGACTAGCCTGGCTGCCATTCTCAAAGTCTTGAGCGACAGGTTCCCCTGCGTCTCCCTCAGTGGATCCCCCGTCTCCCTTGGGAGCTGGGAAAGTCACCTGAGTGGAGGCCAGGATTCCCTTTCAGAGGCCTCTCCTCGGATGCGAGGGGGTGAGGAAGGCCGTGGGCAGTGAGGGCAGCTGCGAGAGTCTAGGCTGAGGCTACACTTCAGCGGCTTCTCAAAGGGCCGCGTGTCTGGGATCAGGCCCCGACAGCCCGACCGGGTATCCGTGAGGAGTGTCTCTCTGTGTCTCTCTGACTTCCAGCCTGCTTCTTCAGGCCACCCTGGCTTCTGGGTGAGGCAGGGGGCGTTCCTAACTCTCTTCTAACTTTATCAGTTTCACGGACCTGATGCCCACCACTGTAAGGTAAGAGACTGCTCTCATTCCTGACTAAATGCTGTACTCTTTATCTCATAAAATGTGTCTGAGTACCCGTTAGCCACTTAAAAAGACAATTAACATCGGCTACCAGTCTTAAGTCTCTGATTAGAAAGGCTTGGCCCCTGAGAGAAGTATGCAGTATAATAAGATTATATTTTGATGCAAAGAAGGGAAATGGTCAAAAATCCCATAGACTACAATATGGAACTAGTTTTCAGTGGAAATCTATTCTTACTGGGTTCATTATTATCTTCAAAAATTGGGAGTTTTTTAAACTAGACTCCCTGAAATGGAAGAAATTTATCATCTGCAATACAGCCTGATTTTAAATAACTGGTGCTAGAATTGCATTTGCATTCCATTTCCAGCCCCCTAGACACACACAGTCCCTATCAGTACAGAGCCTTTACCGGCCCTTTTAGTCTGGGGCCATCTAAACTGCTCAGTGATGTAAACTGCTCGCCCTTAGAGTGTATTCTTGAAAATTGAGATACTTTTAATCAAGTAAGCTAAAAAGAGAGAAGGCAATTGAATAT